CTCGTTTCTTTGGCAAACTTGTTTTTTCGAAATGCGTATGTGGCTTCAACCAAAATGTGACATAGTTTAGGCTTTCAGTTAAATAGGCCTCTCTTAGGTGTTCCTCTGTACAAATGGTCAGTTTTCTTCCTCTCGTGCCATAATAACCAAKGTCAAAGCTGCTGATGTCCTTTGCTGGGCTTATTTCTTCAGTGTGTTTTTTCACTAAATAGCTTTTAAACTCTTGGACATTTTTGAATATTGGTACTTCTTTCAAAGAGAACATGGAACATTGATTTTTGTTCTCGTGCTTATACACTTTAAGCATTACGTTAATGCGTACTGCGTCGGCCATAATGGCTCTTTTAAAAATCCCGCGTCAAAACAAACTCCCGCGTCAAGCAAGTTTCCCGTGCCAAGAAAGCTTCTGCGTCATGCATGGTTTATTTGAACGCATTTCCCATGAACCTCCGCGCCACTAGTTCATACGCTTTACGCTTCACGGGTGACAAAGTTTCTCGGAAGGGGTGTATACAAATTTAACAATTGTACAGACGTTTCACAATCTCACAGTTCTGTGAAATAACCCATTTCTGACACTTTCTTACTTAGTCCTTCAGTGAGGTCTACATCAGCCAGTTTACTAGTGAAATCCATGTGGTACCCCGATAGAAAGTCAAATACTATGTTGACTTGCGTTACTTTATATCCAGGGTACATTCTTTTAAGACTAGATCTTAAGTCAGTATATTTAACAGTTTTCTTTTAATCCCTGTCAAGTATCTCTCCTACATTATAGACTGTTCCTTCAAATATAATCCATTGCTTGTCTTTCTTATTCCGCACAAGGATGTCTGGTTTATTTTTTGGAGGGCTGTCTTGGTAGATAGGGATATTCCACCAGTACTTTTGCTTCATCATTTTTGACAGAGCTCTTTTGGGGTGGTTCTTTGTGCCAAGGTGTTACGTTGTCTTTAAGCTTCTTTATCATCAGAAAGTTCAAACTTCTTAGGCCCAGGTCAGACGCCGTAACTCACATGAGTCGAACCTAATTGTAGTTTGGATCGACTTATGGAATTAGATCGACTGGGTTGAGTCAAACGTCGAACTTATTACGAGTATTTACAGTCGTACCAAAATCATGTTTGAGTGGTCAGCGGCAAACGCATCATAATGGCGTCTGCCATGGCAGCTYGCCGGATATTGCTAATAAAAAAAAATTTGAATTCAAGAAGAAGACGGGCTACCATCAAAAAAAAAACAAACAAAAAACATCACACTTTTGCAAAGAAGGGTAATGCTACGTGTATGTTTTGTTTCCGYTCTTCTTCTCGCTTTCGCGAAATGAAACGGACGTACGTGAAAGAGCATGTAAACGCTTTGCACGTAATTTTTGGTTGGTTTGAAATTGTCTGGAACAATTATTCAGATGAACGGTTTAAGAAAACATTCAGGGTTTCCAGGGGAACATTCCTTTACATTTTCAGAAAAATCGAAAATCATCACTCCACATCATTCCCCATCTTTGAAGAATGCTCAAGTGCGCATGCGCTTTAGTGATGGTTAATGAAAACGAGGCCAAAGCATGCATTAACATAATTAATGCATTTGGATCGGCCCATGTGAGGTACGGCGTTTGACCCGAAGTCGATCTTCAGTCGTTCTTCACGACTGACCTAGTCGTGAAGAACGACTTAGTCGGTCCAAATTGAATCAGTCGAACTTAATTGGGTCAGACGCCGTACTTCACATGACCTTATTACCCTGTATTAGGTACGTCTCATGTGAATTACGGCGTCTGACCTGGGCCTTAAGTATCGCAAGATACACAGGTCTAAGCATGTGATCATGTCTTTATGTGTAGAGCGATTGGACTATGGCCGAGCATTTGCACATGATGTGTGCAATACTCTCCAGGTTAACAAAGCCGACACTTCAGATCTTCTTCTTCACCTTTCACTTTCTTTACGTTATAGACTTTAGTTGGCAATAGTTGATGAATAATACTTGTGTGAATACTGTAAACAACAGTTGAAATGTTTTTCCAGACTTTTGAGATGTGAGATTATTATTATTATTATTATTATTATTATTATTATTATTATTTTACAAATATGTTTATTTCAACTAGTAAAACACTCATTAATAATTCATAATCTTATGGTCCAATTGGAGCCACCATACACATCACGTAGATGAACTTTATACCCGATAAAGTCCTCTTCATTATTATTCAAGTGATTTTATATAAAGACACATGTGATCTTTACATAAAGACCACTCGAATACTATGAGGATGACTTTATCAGGGAGGAAGTATGCATCCAAGTTTAGATGAAGACRTAGAGCTTCATCAAGGTCATAATCAACCTAATGATCTTTGACTAACGTGCTTGTCTTTGCCTTGGCACGCAATATCCAACGTGTGGGAGCTTCTATTGAATCTGGTTGCGCATATGCCCGTGACGTCAAATCTCTATCTCCAGTTGAACCAAAATCTTATAAATTGTTCATTAGTGTTTTAAGCAGTTCAAAAAACTCGTAGATCGTGTTTTATCAGGTATAAAAGCACTCGGCTACGCCTCGTGCTTTATACCTGATAAAACACTCCTACTCGTTTTGTAAACACTACTTCAGACATTTTGCTACATGAATACAGAATATTGCGGGCATGAATAGTCTAAGCAAATATCTGCATGACTGGTTTTACAAAGATGTATACAAATTTAACAATTGTACAGACGTTTCACAATCTCACAGTTCTGTGAAATACCCATTTCTGACACTTTCTTACAATTYTTAGACCATCAGTGAGGCCTACATCAGCCAGTTTACTAATCAAATCCGTGTGATACCTCATTATCATTATCATCATCATCATCATCATCATCATCATCATCATTATCATTATCATTACTATTATACTACTTTGAACAAACAAGAATCCAGAGACTCTCTTTGTCTGCGTTATGAGCCTGGCTTAGAACCTTGAGCCCCTCTCTGCTTCTGCGCCGTCTTTCTTATACTTCACCTACCTCGGAGTTGTTACCTTCATTCATACTTAGCTTTTGGATGCGTTACTTTGACTGTTCAGCAGTTTTACACCTAAAATTGCCTTTTCCAACGACATATCTTTGTATCCTTGAACAGTCTCTTTCCTAGTCGCTTTATCCTTTATTCCAACCACGATACGGAACTGATATTTCCTTCCACATTGAGATGACTTTTATAGCTCTCCTAAAACTTAACATAAAAAAATGTGGCCGCTACTCAAGATCATCAGTCCCAATCCCCCTCTTCATAAATTATGAACACTCAAAAGCACTTTTCACAGAATTTCTTTAGCTTGTAAAACTGCAGTATACGAATTGACTGTAACAACTCGTTTCTACGATTCGCGTATTTTCGAGTTGAAGGACAAACAACAAGTCGAATTTTACTTGATTTTATTTTAACCTTTCACTTTTATCGAAATTGGGCACCCTGAGATTCTAAGTTCCTTTTCCACTTCCGCTCACTGCTTTGGATCACGTGATATAAATGATTACAAGACTCATAAAGGAAGCCGTCAAAAGACATCTACATCTTATCGCTGAAAGAAATTAAATTAGCACAACAAAGTACAGAAACGGATAAGGAATTCGTGGGCTTACCTTAGCATCGTGCTGTTTAATAAAATTAGATAGTCGATTTAGCACTCTAAAATGGCGACTCATTATGGATCATTGGCTTCGGTCACATCCCAAGCAGGTCTCATCACGTGAGTAGAATTTGTCTTTTATATCTAATACCATATCGTTCCATGACGAATCCCTGTGTAATTACCGTTCTATTCTTCCTCAATAAACACCAGCCGATAGATTTAGCACATGCTACCAATTCTCGTATCCAAAGCTTTCTCAGCTTTCTAACGAAAAATCGAAGGATATAGTATGAGAATATATATAAACTATGTATTTGCACTGCAGTTGTAATGTATCGAATTTAGCTGATCCTCACAATATATCAAGCATTTTATGGAGCTGCAAATCTAAAGACGCAAAAAGGAAAAACAAATTCTGAGTAATTAGGTCTATTAGGTCTGGAAATTATCAAGTGCATGACCAGAAGTTTGATTTCAGACCAAGATTACTCGCTCTTTCTCAGTATATCCCTGTCCTGAATCTCTCTATGTACATCTGCATATATATACAGCTAACCATACACACAGATATGTACATGTATGTATATGTATTTATCCCTCTCAGTATATCCATTTCATGGATCTCTCTATGTACATCTATATATACACCTAAACATACACATAGACTATATGTACATATATGTATTTATCCCTCTCAGTATATCCCTATCATGGATCTCTCTATGTACATCTATATATACACCTAAGCATACACATAGACTATATGTACATGATGTATGTATTTATCCCTCTCAGTATATCCCTGTCATGGATCTCTCTGTGTACATCTGTATATATACATCTGTATATGTAATTTTTAATAAACAAGCAGGAGTGTTTTATCGGGTATAAGACATAAGGTGTAGCCGAGAGGTTTTAGACCTGATAAAACACGATTTGCAAGTAGTCAGTAGGCTTGAGCCAATGTTTTTTGAATTGACTGTATGTGTACATGTACATATACAAAAGCGTCTATACGTATATGGTGTATATGTGTAAATTATAGGTACCTGAGACACATGGATGACAAGTGTCTATATACAAGTGTGTGTATATGGTGTATATGTGTAAATCATAGGTGCCTGAGACACACAGATGACCAGTGTCTATATACAAGTGTCTATGTGTACATATACAAAAGTGTMTATGTGTATATAGTGTATATGTGTATATCATAGGTGCCTGAGACACACGGATGGTGATGGCTAGTGTCTATATATGAGTGTCTATGTGTTCATATACACAAATGTCTATGTGTATATGGTGTATATGTGTTTATCAAACTCATTAATAATTGACATGAGGAAAACACGACAGAAATCACGACCGTGAAGAGTGTTATAAACCTAATACAAAATTGTGTTCATTTGCATAAACTTTAAGTTGGATTTTCTTGTCCAGATTCACTTTAATTTTGAAAATTTTAGTGAAACACAAAGGATGTGTTTAGATGTTTGACAAACAATCTACAGTATAAGTGGCCATGTTGTATACGCCTACGCCTACGCCTTGAGTTTGTATATCTGATACAACACGGCCACTCATACTGTATATATTACATATATCGTAGGTGCCTGAGGCACAACAAAAAGCTAAACTTGAATTGTTGCATTATTGTTCTATTGTACCTATTCACTTTCTTTGTACATAATATATCTTACTCTTATATATTGGATTCATGCGAGCCCATTATGGCAGAATGTTAAGTAGACAAGCATGACATGCGCTCTCATTGTCTCCTATTTCAGGTTAAGAAATTTGCCTATATCGATTTCATTCAAAACAAATTTCACCATTCAAAGACAATAGTGTCTCAGATTTTCGTTTTCAATTGAAAAGACAAGGGTTTTCCAAGATATCTAGAATTGGATCTAGAAGACTATTCACCAGCCACAGTTATGTAAAGGATTAAAGTATTTAAGGAGTTTTTCTTATGTTTTATGCTCATACATAAAACCAATTTGTGAAATGGATAAATTTCTGATGTGTGATGACGTCATCACTCCTACTTAATTTATGACGTCACCGGCATTTAATAAAAAAATAAAAACAAGCGTGCGTTTTCTCGGTTTAACACAAATATAAGCTAAATTATAACTAAGATAAATTAATACATACTTAGCATTAAAGATTTTAGTTTCATCAAGTAATTTTGAAAACAGTGAAAAGGCCAGAACACCAAGTCATTTTTAAAATAGAAAAAAACAACCTTTATCTAAGTGTCAATGTAATACTTTATATAACTAATTGATTTAATTGGAAATACTGAAATGAAACTGAAATGAAGAAATAATCAAAGAAAAATAAAGTGTTAATCCCAACTGACAAAGAGGCAAACCATTTACAAGCATGGTCGAGAAACTGAATTTGAACTAATCAGAAACCAGGACAAATACAGTCTCAGCTTGTGGCCACAGCGGGACTCGAACTCAGCACCACCGGATTGCGAGACCGACCGGGTCTCGGTAAAACGCGGAAAGCGGAAAGTGCGAAAGTGCGGAAGGTGCACTTTTATACATGTAAGTTGCTTTGGAGTTAGCCGAGATATAGGGGAATATATAAGTGAAAGTAACAATGAGACCACCACGCATAGAATCGCTTCTCTGTTTTATTATAATGCTAGACAAAAAGCTCGTTGATTTTTAAAACAATAAAGATGTATTTTTTCAAGTATTAGAATGTTTTTTTGGTTTTCTGATTAAATATCAAAAATATACATTGAAGCTTGTATGTCTCATCGCTATATTTTGTCCTGGTAGCAAACATCTCAGCTAACTCGAAAAAAATAGGCTGTCAACGAATTACCATACCTAAGGACAAGCAATGTACATTAGCATGTGTAACGTACCTGTGCAGAAAAGGTTATTCCCCTTGCTGTTGCCGTTATATTTAATGAAAAAAAGGAAATGAAAAATAAAAAGGTTGACGTGACATGGCTACAAAGGCCATTAAAGGCCGTGCTTTATCTGTAATAAGGGTAACAAAATCAATTCCGCTTCGAATATGGCAGCAAACGCTAGTTTGTAAGCCATAAAACGATCTTCACAACTTACCACTCCAGCCCATTCCAAGTAAGTCCTAAACCTTTCTCGATCGRTTTCACTTCTCCTTTCACCATTTTCGTCAGTTGTCACACACGCTACTTGTGTATATTCTCTTTACACACACAGGTCAACATGATGTGTCCCCGGTCGTTTCGTTACACGTAGAGTTAAGCTTCTGGCGCTAGAAGTTTTGAAACGTATAGGTCGAATACTGACCTCTCCTTTGTGTATTAACCCCTGATGATAAACACTTGGTAGATCGAAGAACTATCCCAGAGCTTTCGTATTCAGTTGATACTTATGTTATATTCACCACCACTCCGCCGCTACGCATAAGCTCGTGTTTCGTAACGTTGTCTTCAACTCACAGCGTTTTTATTCTCAATTCCACTAATGTACATTGTACGGTCTACATTATCTGTCATTGCTACCTATCTACGATACATATCTATTGGCGCGGTATGGCGGTCAAAAATACACTCGTTTTACTCTTCGTTTCGTTTATTTAATTGCGTTAGAGTTCCTAAATAATGAAGGAAAGATTACAATTTAACGATAAGACAAAAAACGATTAAAGCAAACGGAAAGCAAAAGAAATAGGAAAAAATACTTACAAAACGATGTGTAACTTAAGACGGTCGACGTTGCAATGAAAAAACTTAACTTAGTCTAAATTATGTACATATTTAAAGTCTGAGAACAAAGACGAAAAAAATGCACACGGGAAAACGCGTAAATTCCAATCCAGCACTAACAATATCCATAATATTTTCATATGTCTCGTACCACGTACCCCTCCCCCTCGTCAATTTATCTTATTTATTCTATTTATCTATATCTTTTCTTTTTTACCATTTAAAAAAGATCATTATTCCATACGTTCCCCCTCTCCCTTTCCTGGTTCTGAATACCTGTGTCGAACCGTAGTGTAATTGGGGTTTCCCGATGAATCCATGTTCTCAAAAAAAGCTGGAACGGTTGTGACTAGCACACAAAACGGAAACGGAAAAGCAATAGCGTAGCAATACAGAAAGGAACTAAAAATTTATTTATTTGCTTTTGCTTATGCTTGAATTTCGGAATTATATGCGTACCATGCAATACTATTTATTTATTTATTCATTCTTAATCAGCCAAGAGAAGGTTTGAACATTATATAGGTTAAATATGATTTTCTATTTAAGGGACTGTGCAATAATTATCGGGAGGGGGGGGGGGGTTCTAAAATTAATAGGGGGGCCAAAAGTTAAATTGGAGTGTAGGGTAGGGGGGGTTAGAAGCTAATTTCTTAAGTATAAGTAAGTAATAAGTATAAGGGTCATAAGTCAATTTGGAATTTTGTTCACTATAAAATTTAAGAGATGCATATAACAATTAGTATTATATTTTTTACTGTATAAAGAACACAACTTGTCACACGTACAACCTCAAACGAACCATATGTGTTGAAATAATGTATAAACAGAGTATACTTTGTAATAAAAAAAGTACAAAAAACAGTAACTAAAAACMGCACAAGTCACAACTTTCTATACTATACTGTGGTAAAGTTATGCCACATTGATTGACTGTATACAGTATAAGACAACTGACTATGTCATGTCTTTTTTGTTTTGYTTTGTAATAATTCTTCTAGCTTTATTTTCATGATATTTAGTGCTATGTCAAGGGATAAAAACAGAAGTTCTGAACAAGCTCCTTGGCTTCCCCAACAAAACATTTCGAAGAAAGAAGAAATATTAGTAGAGTGTCCTCATCAATATTATCAAGTTGTGGGATGCCATATATCTCAGGGCTGTATTCATTTTGCTGAAGGATTTCCTCCTAAGGAATTAACTAGTAACACATGCCCTTTTCTTCCTAAAGTATGTTCTGTTGCCGAGGAATTGCGTTTATCAGCTTTTTTTCTTATTTTCTTATTTCTTCCGTTAAACTGATGAATTCTGTTTCGATCCAATCATATAGGTAGCATAGTACTTTTCCATTGCTTTATCCATGTTATCCAACAAATCTCTAGTGTTCCTTTCAATACCAGTAGTAATAAAGTGCAGTGTTACTGAGATGAATTTATGATGACAGCTCAGTAGAGTTTGGAGTTTCCGACTTCTTTTAGAAAGCAGGCTATCAACATGATCACTTATCTTTGTTTTTCTCAATATTTGCATTGTCGCGATGTATCATGATGTATTGGGGGGGG